CGACTAAAAACGCAGTGGCCTAGAGATCTTCTGCTGAGAAGTTAAGAAAATATCAGGAATTCAAGAAGATTTAATTAATGCTAACACATTAGCTTGATGCGTTCCAACGCAGTGGCAAATTTAAAATAACAAAAAAAAAAACCTTTCTAGTTTTAGTTTCACTCAACTAAAAAGCTTTAATAAAAATTGGGTAATTTTGCTCGCGTCCGTACATTGTACCTGTGCCCTCCTCCGGTTATAACTAAATGAGCAATATTGTCGCCGCGAAGACAGTTCAACATCATAGAATCCACAAAAATATGAATCCATCAAAATTAAGGAAACCAAAAGGCCCAGTCAACACACAGCTTAAGGCTATGTTCTGGAACGCTGGTGGCCTAACTGCTGACAAATTCACAGAATGGAAGACGATTATTACAAAGGAGGATGCTGATTTATATGGGATCGTAGAAGCCGGCTCATCCACTGAAAATATCCAGTTCTACACATTACCGGGATATCAAACTTATAAACTGCAGAGATCCAGGCAGGTTGCATCAGGAATAATTTTCGCTGCTAAATCATCACTCAAGGTAACCTTTTCAATTAATAAGATGATGGAAGAGAATGATAAATTGGAGGCTGTACAGTTAGGTGTATGGAAAAGGATTCATGGTGGAGTTGTATTGGGCTGCCAGGAGCTGAATGGCCTAATAGTCAACGGCAGAGGCGTTTAATGAAAAATAAAAAAGTTTCACTCAAAAATATTTACATATCTTTTAGTGGGTTGATTAAAACACATTTTACATGATAATTTGGTCTTGTTTTGAAGCCATATTGTATCAAAACACCCACGGGATTTCACCGAGTAATTTAGTATTAAGTCACCATAAGCTGTTTTATGGCATATTGTTGCAGAGAGTATTTTTCAAGATACTCCGGACCGAATCGATAATGTAGAATTCAATAAGAACCTTTTCCCAGAATTTAATGCAATGTATAACTTAATGAAATGTTAACAATATACTAGTTAAGGCAGTCATATATGTACTTTCACTGACGAATCCTCTAGGTTTAGATGAGTGGCCGATATGTTACATATCACGGACGACGGCGCCCCCCTACTTCCAGAGGTATATATACCGTAACTGGAGCTTGCTGGAGTACAGTTGGTTTTCGCAGCATATCTACAACTATCAGTTCTCTACAGCGATGGCACGCCTTTCTTTCGTGAGTGTTCTAAGATCATCATTAGCTAAATATCGATCACTCCTTTAAGGTACGGAAAAGGGACTACAATCGAGATTGCAGTGGAGTTATAAACCTAGTTTTTGATATATTGGTTTATTTTGATTACAAAAAAAATACACAGACAACTTCTTGTTTAATTAAATTTTTCAGCAATTGATATTAGATTCGTTGGTCTTTTTTTTCGTTTTGTTGATTTTTTCCAAATTGAGAATTGTATAAAGAATAAGTCGTGCAAACAATATTCAGTTTTTTTTTTGTTTTTGTTTTTTAATGTAATTTATAACTGTATTACATGAACAATAAAACAAGTAAATGTGGCATGTACAACATGAAGAGAAACTACCCATTGGTAGAACTCAAATTAAAGTTCTATATTAGAAGGTTCCGAGGCCATCTTTTCAGACGCCTCGGAGTGTTTTATGAGGGATCGAGGAGGAACAATATTTAGTTTGAAACTGTGATGACATAAATATTAATAGTTAGAGTGGTTCGTTAATTTAATTAAATAATTATATGTGTAAAATTTGAAGTAATTAGTTTTTATTTGAATCATAAACATTTTTAGTTACACATAAAACGTTTCGAACTGAAAAACTGGCGGAGATAGAAATATTGGAGGTTAAGGAAATATGTGACAAGTAGTGCCACCTTAACCTTACAGAAAATATTCTGAGAATGAAATGTTGTCAAATTCTTGAGTAATATTTTCCAAACTTTGATTCATAGTTGAGAATTATTTCTTTATGTGATTAGACGGCTAAATTTATTGTTCATTATACAATTACTTTTTCTATTAAATTATAATAGATGGAAGAGAATCTTATAGGTCAGTTTGATTAAGTAATACTAATCACCGAAAATTGCTGGAATGGGGTTATAAATAAGCTTTAACTCAGGAACAAAGTATTCTTGCCATTAGTACTGAAGATCGTTTACTGTTTTTTTTTTTTTTTTTTCGTTTATTATTTTCAATAATGAAACATTGTGATCGACCGAAAAATTCAAAAACATAACCCCCTCTCAAAATTTGAGGTTTCACGTTTCAAAACACGTAGATAATTGTTTGAAGATAATAAACCATTGTGAAATAATTTTCAGCGTTTTTTTCTTCTTAGAGTGTTAGATATGCTATATAATGCCTATATAATTTGTTCCAAGGTGAAAGAAGAAATCAAAATGTCAGTTGCTGCGATATGTCTAACTAAACTACTAAAAACTAACTAACTAACTAACTAAAAACTAAAAAACTATGTCCTGATGAGAAGAGATTTCTTAGGTTGAATTGTATTGAAATGCAAGAGGAACGAATTCAGCTGTCCACATTCGACATGATAATTCTATAACTTTTAACTTACTGATTAAATAAAACACAATGATCTAAGCTCTGACTTCTGTGCCACCGTACAAGTGCAGTGAAAATAAGTATTCCATCCTTCTCACGTACTTACAGTATGTTTTTGTAAAATTATTTATAAACCAGTGCATTGAGACATTAAAAATTTAAAAATTAATACACCCAATTATGATAGACGGATTTTCAATTTTTCTTTTTTATTGAGTTTCATATATCAAAAAGTATGATATTTCTCCATCAAAAGTTTATCCGTTATAGTTTTTGTTTTCTTTATATATTACATTTATATATTACAGCCGGCTTGAAATATATTGAAACTAAAATCTACTACTATTGATCGTTTCGCATTTAATTTTGCCACGATTGTTACAGAGTGTATGAAATAATATCGCAGGTTAATAAAACTATAAACATAAATACGAAACCGTGTCCCAAAAGTTCAGTAAACTAAATTTTAGCAAGTTTTGAATGGAAGCGACATTTTACAACACATTTCTTCTTCTTATAACAGAGAGACTACATATAGATAATAAAAAGAAAATAAATATTTTTAAAACATCTAATAACCAGCAAATGCTGACCGATGGACTCTTCGACGGTCCAGTCTTGGTAAATCAAAGAGCTACGGAAAGAGCTCATAGTAAAAAACTAAGAAATCGACATAATAAGCAATAACGTAATACAAATAGTCAAAAAGCTGATATTTCTTCACAATTTAGTAAAGTCAACAAGAATAACATTGGTCTTTCCAGGCATCCTTGAAACTTCTTACCGAAATTTCAAAGTGAATACAGAGAGTTTAGGATTTCGATGGACAGCGACAACTTCAGTTCAGGAGTTCAGGAGTTACTGAACCAGCTATGGAGGGTTCAAGAGCCACGATAAAAATGATAGCAATTATTATTAAAGTTGCCATATGATTGTCATCAGATATATTATATAAATTCCAAAAAAGGATATAATATTTCATATTATATCCTTTTTCCTTTTCTTTCAATCTCTCCTGTAGATCTGTAGAAGTATATTCACATTTGCATATATTATATATTTCATTACAAAAATTGTTACCATCTATTTACTTCAGTTTAGGATCTTGTTACTTAGCTTACTCTGTTTAAATCTTAATTTATTACTCTGTTTATAATTTTAATAAGCTTATTCACATGGTTTATAATTTTTTGTCTAAATATTATGTAACTTCCACAATTCTCTATATTTTTGTATCTTTTCCTTTCTATCCCTGAAGACCTGCAAAGTCGGGTCCAAATTGTTGGTTTTTAATAAAATAGTTTTACGACTATTTAGCCTATTTATGACCGCCACCCCGGACCATCTCCTTCCTTTATAATGCAACGGTCAACTATTAAATATCCGAAAAAGTAGAAGATTGCCGACTTGAGACTGATCTACAATGGACGGGGCAGGGAAAAGCAGTTCCTTAAGTTATACCGACCTAATTGCCTCTTTCCTGTGATGAGTCCTTGAGAACCTAACATTAGTCAACTTACGAAGAGTTCTAATAAGGCTAGTCTTTCACAGAAACATGCTTCCACGAAGAGCAAGGGGACTTGTTGATGAAAGTATGCAGTCATTGAACAAATGGTAAATGATGCACGTTGCTGTCCATTGACATATGCTCTTAATCCGGTCCTCCAGGACTTGTTTATCTTGTGCTGCAGAGATACTATACCTCCAGAAACTTGTATAAAGAAACAAACTTGTTAATTACTTTTTTTTTTATTTTAATGAAATTTACAACTGTATTACATAGAAAATACAATAAGTAAATGTGACACTGGTAACATGACATGTACAACACGAAGAGAAACTACCCATTGGTAGAACTCAAATTAAAGTTCTATATTAGAAGGTCCCGAGGCTATCTTCTTTTCAGACGCCTCGGAGGGTTATCAGGGATCGAGGAGGAAGCAAGATTTGAAACGAGAGGATTCGGATGGTTCTGCAGTTTGTTATGAAAGCATAGGTATCTGGATTGGGCCAAATCGGAAACATGTGGAACATTAAGGTCTTTATGGATGATTTTATTTGTGACAAAGTAAAGAGCGTTGATGATTTTACGAAGGATTTTGGATTGTAAGGATTGTATACGAGGGAATTCGATGGTTTAGTGGAGCCCCAAAGCTCAATTCCGTAAGTCCAAATAGGTCTTATTATTGTCATATATATGAGTTGTTTGTAATTGATTGAAAGCTTAGAGCGTTTGTCTAGTAAGTGCTGCAGTAGTCGAAAACGTCGGGCGGTTTCTAGTCGTTTCAGTCTGGTATGGGGGTTGTTAATTACTTGAAAACGAGCATTATTTTAGCCAATAAAATTCATATTTATTCTGAATCTATCTATTTTTTTTATCTTTTCAATCAAATAAGCATTTTTGTTTCCATCATCTTGAGGAAGGCCTATGTTTCAGGTAATTATCGCTGTGTTCGTCCTGGCAGCACTGCTGAATTTGGCCGCAGCTGACGGAGACTCAGAACAGTAAGTACACTTATTTTAAAACTATAAAATATTACTGGTTAATGATTATTTCTGGGTAATCAAAAATATATAAAAACAGTTTATTGTCGACTTTACAAATGTAAGTAATAAAGGGTTGATGACTCCCAATAAAAGTTAACACAGAAATATTTATTTGATATTGAAATAATCATCATCATAGGATAATATAAAACTCGTATTATTGACTGATTAAGATTAAGAAAAAAGACAGAAATATTTTTTATTTAAGGAATGAAATTTGCCGCACATTCAATTCTATCAACCGGGTCGTGCCCCTTTTGCGCCCCCATAGTTTCGGAATTATTAACTACAACCACTATCGGATCCAAGATTTAATTTTTGGGGAAGGGCTTCAGCTCGAAAGATTTTTTTTCCGTATACATATAACGATAATTAATTTGAAAAAAAAAAGAAAGAAATTAACTACCTATATGAAATGGTGTTTAAGTGGTTCTTGAAGTCCTATTAAATGTAATTACGCGAACAAGAATACTTTAAGAGATAGTTTATCATATTTTTTTCTGTAAAACATGCTTATATTTTACCATTTTGGGGGGCTTCAGCCCGAAAACCCCTCCCCCCGTAGATCCACCTGTGGAAGGCAATATTTAAAAGGTTGATAGTACATATGAAAATCTACAAAAAACTTAACACAAAATATTGCCCAATTTCCAACAGAAAAGTAGAAAATTTAAGATTTTTTTTTAAGGCTTCAGCCCGAAACTTCCCTCCTCCCGCTCCTCCTCCCCCCCCCCCGTAGATCCGCCCGTGACTACAACAATCAAAGAATAAGCTTACTTTACTTTCTACAATTTTATTAGTTAAATGTTAATTAAGCCTTCCAACTTTAATGCGGTATATCATTCATGCGAAAATATTTCTCTCCTTTTCTCCTTTAGTTAATTATTATAATAAATTCTCCTTTACTTCATATTTATCCATTTTGTATTACAACTAACAATGGAACTTGTAATTATTTCTCAGAAACAAAATTAAAGTTACTTTAGGGGAAGAGTTAGAAAATTCGGTACATCAGCTATTTCAATCAGTGTAACTCCTAACTGATATTAAACATTCAATTTCACATTGATACAACGAGTTACAGTTATCAGCGACAAATGATGTCGATGTTATGAAAAAAGTATTCCATAGAATGAAGTAATGAGGAAGGTCTGTAAATTTAGTCTGTGCGGAGTGGGCAAGATTCCAGGAAATCTCTTTTGAACAAGCCACAGCTGTTTAACAAACGCTTGCAACTGCAAGATTGAAAGGTAAACACAGTAAAAAGTGCAAGGAAAATGAATTCGAGTTAGTGAGTTTGTTGGTTAATGTAGGGCAAATGGACACTTGCCCGAGGGGCAAATTTCAAGTGAAAATGTTTTTTAGCTTAAAAAAAATATTTGTTTACACTTTTGGGTTGTTTTGACCTCAATTCACTAAATACAATGAGATGATGATATTTATTTCGAAATATATTACCTATAATATTTCTGTTATATGTTGATTTTTATTTAGGTGAAAGCACAGGCGGATCTACGTGGGGGGAGGGGCTTTCGGACTGAAGCTCCCCCCCCCAAAATGGTAAAATATAACCATGTTTTACAGAAAAAAATATTTAAAAATATCTCTTAAAGTATTCTTGTTCCTGTAATTACATTTAATAGGACTTCAGGAACCACTTAAACACCATTTCATATAGGTAGTTTAATTTTCAAATTAATTATCGTTATATGTATATGAAAAAAAAAATCTTTCGGGCTGAAGCCCCCCCAAAATTAAATCCTCAATCCGCTAGTGGGTGAAAGTAGCAGCGACAAAATTAAGCTTGGTCCTCCTGACGAAAGCCTTAGTTCCGGATCTAGTTACTTTACGTTATTACCGTAGGTAACTTAGGTACCGGTTTTGGTAAAACGTTTCATATTGAATGTTTTGTGAAAACAAGAAAAACTATTTCAGTCAAATAACCGTCATTTAGTTATGTATTGCTTCTGTTACGGAAATGTAACTTAATAGAATAGATTCTTTCTTTTTGAAAGACCCAGTATTTTGTCACGCAACATTTTTAACATTCATATCAAACATTGAGCCTAATCACGTTCACTATAAATAAATCAGTTATCATTTTTTTCAATTTATTCGAAATGCTTTATAAATTTGTAGATCCATTAAAACATGACACATTTACAAGATTCTGTACTTCAATGCCTCATTTTGGTATTATTGGGTAATGCAGGATTTTTAGTTTACTTTAAAATACCCCTCCATATAACATACTGTTTTTTGTTTTTTTACTGGATTATTAATTTGTATGAATGCCAACACTTATTAATCCTCTTCCAAACGATGTTTGTTTACCTCTGTAGCACTTCGTTGTTAATGTTGCTAAAATATTAGCAGACATGTATAGATAGTAGTGAAGACTATTTTGATTAAATAAAACAGTTGTAAATCTTTCTTTTTTATTTTTAAACCACAAAACCTGCATTATTTTCGGGACCACCGAATATATAAATAATTGCATCAATGTCTTTGTTATTAATGTATTATTTTGTTGATCTGCTAAAGCCATCCCAACTAGGACAGAAAGGAAAAAGTTTTTTTTTCATATTCAGTCAAAATTTAGCTAACTCCTGATTACTCCCTATCATGCCTGTTTTTTACTTTCTTAAATATACCAGGTAAGGAAAGTATTGCAATCCGGTCAAATTTCTGACATGCGGTTTTCGACGGATATATACGTTTCAGAGCCCCCTGAGTTCGAAAAACACATTTTTAGCCATTGGTTTGTCTGTCTGTTTGTGCCAAGATTTTCTCGGAAACTACTAAACCGATTTTGTTGCTTCTTTTTCTGTTTTATTGGGTTTTGACTACAGATAGCAGTGACAGAAATTCGGTGCTCCATGCGCAATAGCTTGCGCGCAATAAATGAAAAACCTGTTTTTCTATAGACTGTAGCGCAAAAACGGCTCTAAAGATTTTTATGAAAATATCCTATAATGTTCTAATCATTGTTCTTTCAATTTTTATATATAGACTAAATTCCCGTATGGTCTAATTATGAATGAAATTAGCCGTATAAAAATCGTTCATTTTGGACAACTATTAACGAAGTTACAGCTATTCAATTTCCAATGTAAGATTACGGTTTCATATCCTGGTGTCAGAAAGGGGTGAATGAGAGAATAAAGATGACTAAGTGAAAATAAATAAATCTGTTGCCCGCATCACACAATCTTCAATATTTCCTCTACTTTTAACAGAAATTATTCTTTGACAATACTAAGCTATGGCAAAAAGTTTTTGATCAGCAATATTAGGAAGTATTGAAATTTTTACACTGATCTACCTTAAGCCGGTTTACATTGCTTTAGTTTATCAATTAAATCGTACTCAAATCTTATGTTTGATCAATTTTCAGAAAAATGTATTTAGTTCAATTCTTTTTTGTTTCTTCATGAACATATGTAAAGATATAAAATCTTTTCTGAAATAGGTAGGAAAGTCGTGTGAGTGGACACACCAGATATTTTTATTTCGTCTTCCTGCTTTTGTTATTAATTAATGATAATAATCTTTACATTTTTTCCACTCGGTAGTTTCGAAATTCATTGAGCTTTTTAACAAATGTATCTATGAGCTTTATAAAATGTGGCATATTTTACAAAATTATTTTTTTCTAAATGGTTTTTACTTCTCAAAGTCATCATCTGAGTACATTGGTATCCTGCTTTAATATTAAAATATTTTCATTTCATTAACTTGATGCTTTTCTATTGCTTAGCAAAAATTGAGCTACCCAAACATACTTTTAAAACGAAATTTTAGGAAAACAATATCCAAGAAAACATCAAAAATGTATGCCATCGTTTCGAACCCATAAATACATGTTTACTATAAGGACATGAATACATATTTTGGATCAAAATACCATTACTATTTTTCAAGACTTCAGTGATTGTTATACTTTCACTTTTCATTTTCAACGCCATACATAAAAATTAAAAAACATAAATCGAAAGTGGCAGTAAAGTCAACATCAGTATATTTTTATGTAGCCATAATTTTATTAATATAGAAAGCCTCATTCGCACAATATATCATGAATAAACAAGATGCACATATTCATGTAATCTACGAGAGTCGCCCGCGGAAGATCGTATGAAGAACCCGGAAGATGCGACCACGGATGGTCGGCCAAGCGAAGACCCAACTCTCTCGTCTTGAGCACACCTTCCTGATGAAACTGTCCTTGCTCCTGCTCGCCTCTGTGTGCCGAGCTAAGCATGAAAGTAGTGTCCACGAATAAACCAGCCCTGCTATTATTAAGGCATCTTTTTACGTAACAGGAACCGTTGAAAACAATCCAGTCGATGTTCGTTTAATAACACCTTCCGGAAAACCACTTAACAATCATGCCTAGATTAGGATTCCATCAAAATACAAATATGGAATATCATAGTAATAAAAAGTAAACTGACATATATATAGTTTGATATCTGCTTCAAAACTAATATTATTTATTAACGAAACAAAAACGTAGGACATTTGATTAAATTTGCAATCTGCAAATTTCTTTGCAATCTGCAAATTTCTTTGCAATGAGCAAATTTTTTGGCAGGTTCACAGCTTCCCATGACATCCCTGGATAAAAATACAATTCTATTTTGAGAATCACACATTTCCCCACCCTCTGGAAATATTCTGAAGTTGTCATGGTCTTAAAACCGAATAAAAAATCCTCAGACTCTCCAAATTCCTATCGTTCGATCAGCCTTCTTCCTTCCTTTTCCAAATTATTTGAAAAAAATATTCTTCGTCACCTTGATTCTCTCGATATATTTAAATTTATTCCAAATCATCAATTCGGCTTCAGAAAGCAACTGTACAACAATGTCATCGATTATATGAGAATGGTAGATTATATTTCTAATTCTTTAGAATCCAAAAATTATTGCCCTGGAGTTTTTCTTGACATTAGTCAAGCCTTTGATAAAGTTTGGCATGAAGGATTGCTTTCGAAACTTAAAATTTTACTTCCTCCGAACTACTATCTAATATTACTTTCATATCTAACGGATAGACATTTTGTAGTAAAAGTAGGGACAGAACGGTCTGACATTAAACCTATTAAAGCAGGAGTACCTCAGGGTAGTGTCCTTGGATCAATATATATTGTTATATATATATATATATATGTCTGACCTACCGGAACACAATGACACAATACTGGCTTCTTTTGCAGACGATAACACAATCCTAAGCTCAGATAAAAACCCTGTTCGAGCATCTACCACTCTTCAAAATCATTTGAACGATATTGTAGATTGGGCCACAAGGTGGAAAATTAAGATGAATGAAAAAAAAAAGTGTGCATGTAGTATTCACTCTTAACCATAAACCTTCACTTGAAATATATTTTAATAACACTAAAATTCCAACATCAGACGTAATTAGGTATTTTGGTTTTTACCTGGACAAAAGACTTACTTGGAGGACTCACATCAGACAAAAACGAATAGAATTAAACAGACGATACGGTCTTTTATCCAGATTACTTGACAGACGTTCAAAATTATCTTTAACTAACAAACTGACCCTTTATAAAGTTTTACTTAAACCTATTTGGACTTACAGCATAGAACTGTGGAGTGTTGCTAAAACTTCCAACATTAAAAAAGTTCAGTCCTTTCAGTCAAAAGTGTTGCGAAGGATAGTTGATGCACCGTTTTATGTCGCAAATGATACACTACATAAAGACTTAAACGTACCTACAATTTTAGATACTGCAAAGGAGAAATACAATAACTTTCATTGACGTACAACATGAATCCCCTGACAGAAATTCTTCATCATACAAGAAATCCGTACAGCCCACTACGAAGATTACGTAGGCGTTGGCCAAGAGATCTGCTGAAAAATAATATAAGACGATAGTCTCACTATCCATATTAATAGTTTATTTAATTTCATTTTATTTTCTGGAAGTATTGAAATAAAATGGAAGCACTAAGGGTTGTTCTATTTTCAAATGAACAAGAATTGAATAAATTTATTCTAATTACTATCCTTCAACCACCATGACTTGGCTCACGGGCGGATCTACGGGGGAGGGGGGGTCTTTCGGGCTGAAGCCGCCCCACCAAAATGGTAAAATATACTTGTTTTATCGAAATAAATATTAAAAATATATCTCTTAAAGTATTATTGTTTGTGCAATTACATTTAAAAGGGCTTTAGGAATCACTTGAACACCAATTCATACAGGTAGTTAGTTTCTTTCTTTTTTTCCAAAGTAATTATCGTTATTTTTATGAAAAAAACAGCTTTCGGGCTGAAGCCCCCCCCCAAAATAAAATCCTGGATCCGCCAGTGACTTGGCTTGTGGTTGTTTTCTTTATTTTGTCCAAAGTAGAATTAGACATGAATACCTAATCCCTCCTTCATAAGAAACTTTATATTCTCTAATTACTGCATACTTAATTTTATGAGATCTGGTACGCCATTGTTCATAAAGCTCAAGATATAATTGTAGAAAAGGAGCCAAAGATTAGGTATAATTTATGGAAAGAAGCTTGCGTTGATAGAATAATATAAATAGGACACAAACAAGCAGACTATATCAGAACGATTTTTTTATATATATATATATATATATATATATATATATATATATATTTAGCTAATTTCATTTTTTCAATCTAACTTATTAATATGTTGCAGTTTAACTAAATAGCATTAAAATATCCTTCCAGAAATTAAGATATTTTTGTATCATTCTAAAATATAGAGCTCAACAAAAAAAAATAAAAATAAAAATATTCACATGGTATTTACTATTTTAATAATTCTTATTATTTTATATATATCTTTTTTTAAATAGTATAATTTGATTTTTCATTTTAGCAAAAAAGTTATCATCCATGTACCATTTAAAGTACAAACAGTTCATCACCACCACATAAAAAAAATTCCTATTTATCACTATTATGAAGAACATGATCATCATCATCATCATCACCATCATCAGAAGAAAGATCATTTTGAAGAAGAAGATCATCACGGTCATGATGATTGGGACTAAGGTAATATTAATAATTCAATATGTTCTTGAATGCCTAAGAAAAAATCATTTAAGCAACCAAACAATTTAGAATCTTAAACTTTGATAATGGTAAACTATCAAATATGAGATAAACTAGTTTAATGATAGTATTCAATTATTAGATTTATGTAATAAAATTAATTTTATTATAGAATAACAAGCTTAGGATTTGACATAAAGATGATTATTTTATTGATAACTGTGTGTGTTTATAGAATTACAGAGGTTTTCTGCCTATTCTATTCTTCAGGAGAACTAACATACATACTTGAGAAGTTTCTACTTTCAATGTGATCCTGGTAATGGTGGCTGACCTCACTGTCACAAAGATGTTATCTACTGACACTCTAGCTGACTGCCATACTGATTAAATACTCTTTCCATACAAAGAACTTTAGTGACTGCAACATCTACTTTCTCTAATGTCAAATGAAAGTTAATTATTAGTTCATCTCATAAAGTAATACTCAATTCGAATAGTAATGAGCATTGAATAACTAATTAAATATTTTCTAGAAGAAATATTACATCAATGAGTCACTTTTTATGATTAAACTTCATAATCAATTAGATACTATTTTGTCCGTCTGCCGTCCGCGCATTTTTTCCGAAACTACTGAACCGATTTTTTTCAAATTTTGATATAAAATCAGAGGTCACCCGAGGATGATCCTCCTTCATCGACATTACTCTCCGCCTTTAACTTTCAAAATGGCGGCCGAAAAACCTGCGTTGCTATAGGCTGTAGCTCCTAAACGAATGTACAGATTTCAATGAAACTTCGCTAAAGTCATTTTCTCGATGCCCTTTAAATTTATCTATATAACATACTTCAACGAAAAGAAGCTGGAAAAAAAGTTACGAGGGATGGTAAAATTAAATTTCGAATAACTCTAAAAGTTCACACTTTTGTATGATATTGTATAGTTTTTTAAAAGTTTACGAAATTTCCTAAAAAAAAAAAAAAAAATCGTTAAAATCGGACAATTAGGAGCAAAGCTATGGTCTCCGATTTTTTTTTATGTGTTCTACTCCAAATATTATATCCCTGGTTTGGTTTTAAAATTTTAAATGTGTTACTGAACTAATGTTATTTTTTTTAGCATATTACTAATGATTAAAGAAAAACAGTTTAGTACAATAATTGGAATCACCTTTTTTTTTTTTTTCTTTGTAACTCGGAAGGTAATGTTACTTTAGATGTATAATTGTTTGAAGATAATAAACCGTTGTGAAATAATTTGCAGCGTTTTCTATATACATTTTAAAAACTATATAATTCTCAATTTTGAATAAAAGAATTTTCTTAAGCTCATTTCACGTACACTTTATTTGCAACTGGTACTTTCTGAAATATAGTAAATTGTTAATAAATAGATAATCCATCTTATACTTCATTATCATCTGTGGTTTAACAAATGACAGATACTTACTTGTAGGGGAACCGTACCCGATGGAATGGTTCGCGAACGAATTCCACCACTGGAAAAGAACGAGACCTTATAGAACTTCGTTCCACTGGAACCTAATCCAAGAATATTAGACTATCTAAATCCTAGACGTCTTTAGGTTTAGATAAGTAAATGTTCGGGAGAAAAGACAAATAGGTATAAAAGGGATTTGTATCAATTAAGGTTAGTACGCTGATTGCCGCCGAAGTGGATTAACGGAATAGTCGAATAGGTTATTTGCTTCAAAAGTGAACCATAACGACTAAATTTAGTGTTTGATTAAATGTAAAAGATATAATAAGATGCTAACCATGACTTTAAGATAGAAATTTGTAAATTTTAAAAATATTAATTATAATGCCAAGATTCAGATAAACTATTAAAATAATATCAAATAAATATTTTAATCAAATTTTATTATTACAAAGACCAGTGACAAATGTGTGGTACTGTTGTGCAAATAAAATTTGTCATAGAAAAATTTATAACATTGGTTTATTAGGATTTAGAAAACCTAAGATTTCGCATTTTATTTTAATTTTTTTAGCTACCTATAAATGTGATGAGAGATATCAATGTTGTTTAAACATTTTAAAAAAATATTGATTTTTATTAAATTTTGACTTTTTTATTATTATTTTATTACTTTCCTACCTATACTAGGTAAGGAAAGTATTGCTATTGGGTCAAATTTCCGACATGCGGTTTTCGATGGATCTATACGTTTCAGAGCCTCCTGAATCCGAAGAACACATTTTTAGCCATTGTTCTGTCTGTCTGTGCCAATATTTTCTCGGGAACTACTGAACCGATTTTGTTGCTTCTTTTTTTATTTTGTCGAGTTTTGACTACTGGTGGCTGTAACAGATATTCGATGCTCAATGCGCAATAAATGAAAAACATGTTTTTCTATAGATTGTAGCGCAAAAACGGCTCTAACGATTTTTATGAAACTTTTCTATAATGTTCTAATCATTGTTCTTTTAATTTTCGTATATAGACTAAATTCCCCAAAAAAATCAGGAAAAAAAGTTATAAAGAAAAGAAAAATTTTTTAGGGCCTAACTCCCTAAGTATATATTATACGGTACATATGTAAAGATATAAAAACTTTTTGAAATAGGTAGGAAAGTCGTGTGAGTGGACACACCAGATTTTTTAAAATTTATTTGTAAGTCATATTACAACGGTAGAACGAAGACGAAACAAAACTAACAGTCTAGTTACTCTAATAAAAATGTTTTGAACCGATTCGATTAAACTATTCCACCTCTGGAACAGTCTTTCTCGTTCCGAGGGACTTCGGAATCTCTTTCCATCGAAATGTGAACGCTTTTATGCTCCATCACGGCCGGGTCTACGAGGAGGGGAGGCTTTCGGGCTGAAGCTCCCCCCCCCCCAAATGGTAAAATGTAACCATGTTTTATGGAAAAAAAAATTTAAAATACCTCTTAAAGTATTATTGTTCGTGTAATTACATTTAAAAGAACTTAAGAAATCACTTAAACACCATTTCATGTAGGTAGTTAGTTTCTTTCTGCTTTTCCAAAGTAATTTTCGTTATTTTTATGAAAAAAAAAGCTTCCCGGCTGAAGCCCCTCCAAAATTAAATCCTGGAACCGCTAGTGCGCACCATTGCATTTTGTTTTCTTTCCAATCTGTGATTTCGATCTAGCATCCGTTTGGAAAGATTATGATACAGATTAAAGTGTCTTCGTAAGTTAATAGTTTTAGTATTACGCATATTTGCTTCCAGTGGTAGAGCACTCCATTCTATTCGGACCTGTAGTAAAATAAAAATAATCATACTACATTATAATAATCTATTTTCTTTAAAAAAAAAAAAGTAAGCAGTGAGCAGGTAAGAACTAGTTTTTTAGTAATTATTCTTTTGCTTCAAATTTTATGACCAATAAAAAACTAAATGTATTTTATGAGAAGGTTTAAAACATTATTCATTTTCCCAATAATACTACCTAAGTTTATAATATAAATTATTTATTTACAAAATATTTTAAATTTCTATATAAATGACGTTTAATAATAAAGTAGTAATTGTAGGAAAGAGGATAATCTATTTTAAAAAGTAAAACCTCTGACAAATATACAAAAGGCTGCATAACTGATAAAACGTTAAAACATTTACTGGATTTTTATAGCTCAAGAACATGACCATACGAATTACATTTAATAAAAACATTTACTTGATGTACTGCAGTAGACAACCTCCTCTTGACCTCTGTAATTGAATGTAAATTGAAATAAATCAATGTACATTACATATTGTAGAGAAAATCAGCAATTGGTATGAATACGAGGACAAGTTATAGGAATTGTTGCTGATTGTCTACTTGTAAAAATTGTCTACTCTTCTTGGGTTTGTTTCAGAAGGAAAAATGAGACACCAGGTGGCTTAAAACCTTGGTAGCAGCTTTCTCCCCTCCCCTCCCCCCGGATTTCCACAGCTTATCTATTTAATGTTCTCTTTAATTTTTTTTGTTTTGGTAATTATAAATGTGAATGTACATAACAAAAAGCCACCAAAATGGCTTTAAATATATATATATATATATATATATATATATATATATATATATATACATATTTACATCTAAAATAATGAGTTCGTAGTTATAAAATAAAAAACATATATCTTTAGGTATTTCTTTAGTGTTCTTTAGACTATATCTCCACTTAGCAAACTGCTAAAAATTTGACTTATGGTTAAAATGCCCATGAATGGCTCACTAGGCCGATCTGGGAATTAAAAATACATATATGTATATTCTAATGTAAAAATATACATAGTTAATACAGAAATTAAAAATAAATTATTTTATTTTTTCCAACAGGTGTAACAGAAAACAAGGATCTGAATAGAACACATGGGTTTCATCAAAGCAAGATGTACGAATGAACAAGATCAAGAAGAGAAAAGTTACCATCATGCATTTAACAGTTTCGTGACAGCATTATTGTTTTAAATGCGCAATACTAGTCATGTTCTAGACCAAAATAATATTAAGTTAATAAAAATATATTTTTTTCAATCTGTTTTTTATTTAATATAATAAAAGCATAAACATTGAACTTTTCTGGCCCAGTATGCTCATAATACTTATTCATTAGGAGTGTATTAAAATCATTTCCATTTCTTTGAAGCCTAAAAATATCATAAATAACCCAAAAAGAATAATTATGGAATCAAATGATTAAAAACACCATTCCATTCAAGTGTGGTTCACTTGAATTTCTCTTGTGTTTAATTTCTCTTTTTATAATCTACCAGGTTTGTTACTCTCGACAAGAATGAAATAAACCTTCACCTCAATAGATATCCAACATGGATTGCTAATTCAGATAAACTATTAAAATAATATCAAATAAATATTTTAATCAAATTTTATTATTATAAAGACCAGTGACAAATGTGTGGTACTGTTGTGCAAATTAAATTTGTCATAGAAAAATTTATAAATTGGTTCATTTGGATTTAGAAAACCTAAGATTTCGCATTTCATTTTACTTTTTTTTGGCCACCTATAAATGTGATGAAATATAAATAAATAAAGCATAAAATGCAAAAGTTTTTAAATCTAGTTAGTGATTATATTTAAAACAGAACACCATTGAAGATTATAAATAGTATTTATCCAACTTCTGCAGAACATAATATTTTTAATATATTAGCTATAAGTTATCAAGGAAAAAATGGATAAAATATTAAAAGACGATTTCAATTAAAAACTTTTTTTTTCTCACATGGATATATCAAGATCAATTTACTAGTAAACATTGTGTGTATAATTTATCAGTCAATACATAATGAGGATCTCTTTATATTTCAATAAATTTGAATTAATGGCTTCAACATTATTTGTAAATATTATTGCATTTAATTATCTTATATATTATAACCATGAAAAAGCCTAATAATAATTTTTTTGGATTAGTTGAATGAAAAGTACTAAAAGACTAAATCAGTTAACATTATTTTTTATTAGATTAATGAAAACGTACTATTATTTTAATATTATAACCAATGAAATTATAAATATAACGTATTTTGGCCTCATGATTAAAAAAAAATATATATATATATATATATATATAAATATATAAACTTCATAAGAACAATCACCGTGACACCCAACATCAGACATTACACTTTATGCACATGATAATAAGTCTAAGCACCAGACCATGACAATTTGTCATAGGAGTAGTGACACTCCATAGTCTACAGGAGTGGAGAAGGCTTCACCATAGCAACCAACACATCAGGATTTATAACAAGTTAGTATAATAGTGGAATATGACGTTGAGCTCATTCTTAAGCCCTAGCTATGGGTTTGAAAAACCACCCATCAACGAGAGAGGGGACCATGTTCATTATCATACCTCCTGGTGAGTTTTCATTATTATAAGATTTTCATTTCATTTCAAAGTTTAAAGAAATTTAGTAGTGATTCTTTGAATGCTTTTGCAAAATAAAAATTCCTATTTATATATTTTTTTCTTTATTTACATAATTTTTGTATTCTTACTTTTGTAAATCAAAATTATGACTCCCATTTTTTTTTAGACCTTTGTAAAGCAGATTTGTAAATTTATTATGAACATAATTATCATGATAGTACATTCACAAATTGAACAAATGGATATTGAAGACATTTGGTATTATCTATTTTATCTTTTGCAATAGTGCAAAGGGTGCTCATTTTATATATAGATTAAAATCTGAGATTATAATGAAAATATAATTTAAAAAAAAAGAGATACTAAAATCTTAATAAAACCACTGCTTCAGTAGATTGTTTATTGTTCTATACTTATTATTATAGCTAATTATAAAATGAAAAAGCTATAATAATAATAATAAAATAAAAACATACAGGCAGATTTTGGCATTGAAAATTAGATAGAATGAACTTGAAACATTTATTATAAATAATTAATACTCTATCAATTTCAAAACTGATGATAAATTCCTTAGAAAAATTATGCCAAACATTTAGATGAATAACTATAATTCCACTAATAGTAAAACATTTTAAACAAATATTTAATAATGACTGAAAAACTTCTATATTATTATTAATAGAATACTTGTTAGTCATGAATGTTATATGAGTTTATGAATACAGCCAAATCTTCCAATCCATATCAATAACTTTTGGATTTCATTCCTTATGAAGCTTGAAATCAAGATAAACTTTTTAAACAATTTTACTTTATATCTTTGGGTCTAATTTGTTTACGGAGGTTGTGTTTATACCATTTTGTGTAGCATAAAGAGCCCTAAGTCACTAATAATTTTCATGTGATTCAGTGAAGTCGTTCTGAACTGAAGTATTTGATACAGTATATCTCCAACTTTTGTAGTTGGAGATAAAATTTCTAAGGGCCTATCCTATACAAAAATTTCATGCAAAAATTTTAATGTTAAAAATTTTGATTGCTATGAAAACTCATATTTTATAGTTTTTTGAGGGTTGAAAAACAAATATCAACTTTGTTTCTTCCTGAGAAATGATATACTCTTGATAACGGGCTAGTCTAGAAAAAATATTAGATTTGGCAGATAGCAATCATATGGGAACAGATTTGACTAACTGACGAGGCAATGTGGGAGTAAAGAATTTTTTAGGGAGACACAAAGTTGATATTCATTTTTGGACCTTTAAAAGCTCTAAACATGAATTTTCATAGTAATTAAAACAATAAAATGATTTGCATGAAATTTTCGTCCTTCAAAATTTTGTCGCCAACCATAAAAAGTGTAATAACTTTCGAATGTTAAGGACTTAGGGCTCTGTATCCTACATAAAATTGTATAAATCCTATTCTATAAGTAAATTAGAACCAAACATATAAAATAAAATAGTTTAAGAATTTTTTATACATTCCAATGCTAGTACTAACGTTTGAAGAAAATCCTGAGAAGTTATGAATGCTTCAGTTAACGACCACAAAAACAATCCTAGAAAATCAAGTACTAAAATTTTCAACTTTTAATAACCATAAGAATTTGTATTTATAAGTTTTAAAGATCAATAGAAATGAATGTATCTTTCTTTTTCATCAGAAAAATTTACATGGCCTACTTGTAGCTTAAGATACTATAAAACAAAAATTAATAACATAAATTTTGTCTGAAATTACATAAAATATATATATTTTTATTGGCAATTAGAGCACATTGGCCAGAACCCTCCGACATGGGTCTAATATTTTTCAACCTAGTATCACCAAAATCAGTTTCATTGAAATCAGTAACCCCACATCCGTCACCTTGCCTTGCCAGTGATTTCAAAAATTCTGGTAGTCCTTAAAAATGTTTTGGATAAATTAAATTAAATTATAATATAACCATCTGGTGTGTCCATTCACACGACTTTCCTAACTATTTCAGAAAAGTTTTTATATCTTATATATGTCCATCAAGAAACAAAAAAAAATTGAAATAGATTTATTTTCCTGAAAATTGATCAAAGAAAAAATTTGAGTACAATTTATTTGATAAACTAAAGCAATGTAAACCTTGCAACCTTGTAAGCTTCAGGTAGATCAGTGTAAAAATTTCAATACCCTCTAATATTGCTGACCTAAAACTTTTTGCCATAGCCTAATTTTGTCAAACAATAATTTCTGTTAAAAGTAGCAGAAATAGTGAAGCTTGCACGATACGGGCAACAGATTTTCTTACTTTCACAAAGTTATATTTTTTCTCTCATTCGCCCCTTTCTGATTCCAGGACATGAACCTCTAATCTTACATTGGAAATTGAATAGCTGTAACTTCGTTAATAGTTGTCCGAAATGAACGATTTTTATTTAGTTTCATAGGGAACTTCATTAACTTAAAAAAAAAAATAGGCTAAACGATGAAAAAAGTTATAAATGTAATTTAAGTCACAGGAATCAGTATTCAAAACCCTACCAAATAAAAAAAAATAAGCCACAAAATCGGTTCACTAGTTTCAGAGAAAATCTTGGCACAGACCGACAGACCAATGGCTTAAAATGTGTTTTTTCGAAATCCATGGACTCTGAAACATATAGGTCCGTCGAAAAACCGCATATCGGAAATTTGACCCGATCGCAATACTTTCCTTACCTAGTATTGATAGGAAAGTATAAATAGTTAGCTCTAGATGAAATAAGAACAAAATTAGTAAAATATAAAATTGAATAATACAAAGAAAACAGAATATAGCAACAGTGTATGACAAAATTAAACAGTATAATTACAGAAAAAAATAAAAATACATATTGATAATAATGTAACATCAAACGAAAACCAAGATAACTCTTTTAATTTTAGTTCTCAACATTTATAAAACATGAACAAAATTCTGAACTATTAACTTTAATGTAACTGAAAGTCAATGTATTTAAATCAATCAATTACTCCCTTTACTTTTCATATAATTTTTTTTTTTTATTAAATGTCAATCCACTCTTTGAAAAATAGTCCATATCAGCTGTTGTCAAATAATTAAATTTGAGTTAACTAATTTGTATTTATTTAAACATGTGTAAATATTTCTCCAATGTGTCTATACACCATAATACTACCATTTAGAAGCCCAGTTAACAAATATAAATAAAAATCTTTTATTAAAAAAATTAATTAATCATAATTTATTCAATTAAAGAATCTATTTTTTTCCTATCCATATTTTCTAATATTGGTGTCATAAATTATGTTGTTCCTAAGTAAAAGACCATTTGATCACCAATTTCTTTTTTTCTTTTACATTTCTAAGATCAGTGTTTTGGCCAAAACTAGGAATATCAAATAAGTAAACAATTTGGTAATAAAATGACCTTTTACGGAAAAACAACTCAATTTCTTTCATTTTTTCAGTGTTGAAAATAAATATTTTCTTCAAAATAAAGTTTACGTTTTTAAAAATTTTAAAATGTTTTTAAAAAATCTAGTGCGCACACAAATAACTTTGCCTTACCGTTCTACTTCGATCAAAAATTATTTTCTGGCAAAGTTGGGATGTTATAAAATTTTTGAAGTGCA